ATATATGTGTGTGTGTGTGTGTGTGTTGTGTGTGTGTGTGTGTGTGTGTGCGTGCGTTTGAGTGTGTGTGTGTGTTTGCGTGTGTGTGTGTATGTATGTATGTATGTATGTGTGCATGCATACATGTATGCGTGTATGTATGCAAGTAGGTATGTACGTATGTATGTATGTATGTATGTATGTATGTATGTATGTATATATGCATGTATGAATGAGTGTATGTGTGAATGTATGTATGTGTGTATGATGTGTGTATGAATGCATGTATAAATGCATGAATAAATATATGAATGTGTGCAGAATGCATGTAGAATGTATGTAGAATGTATGTAGAATGTATGTAGAATCCATGTACAAATATAGAATCCATGTATGTATGTATGTATATATGTATGGGCCAGTGTTCTTGTGTGCTTGTCTGCCTGTGTATGTGTGTGTGTGTCACACATTCGATCGCACAAACAAACCTGTAGGGAGACGCCCATTACTGGTATTGGCCGCAATGTATCGGTCCATATTATCGATTGTGAAGTTAGCTTGGTTTACTTCTTCATTCTCCTGTCCTTGCTCTGCACTGTCTGCCTGTGGTGCATTCTGTGATGCCGGTGCAACATCGAACATGTTCAGATTCAGCTGCTCCTCATCGCTGCTTGCCTGTGCTGCCACACTATCTGATGGTTAAATATATATATATATATAGGTGTGGAAGTCTTAAATGTTGCCTCAACATGATTTCCAGAGGCTGATAATGAACCCTGGAGAGGCTGTACTGGAGGAAGCATACACTTTAGCCTGAAGAGACTGTACTGGAGGAAGCATACACAGTAGCCTGAAGACGCTGTACTGGAGAAGCATACACAGTAGCCTGAAGACGCTGTACTGGAGAAGCATACTCAGTAGCCTGAAGAGGCTGTACTGGAGAAACATGCACAGTAGCCTGAAGAGGCTGTACTGGAGAAGCATACTCAGTATGGGTTGACTCTTCGTGGATTTAACTTCACAGCACAGAAGTAACATCTTCCAATAGATGAGAATTTATAAATATGCGTGCAAGGGTTTTTAAACAACAAGTATTGCTTTTGTGTCCCAACAGATGCGTGAAACATCTTTATGATACAACAGGTCCTGCCTGTGTTGCCACGGTGTGATAGGTGAATGTTCACAAATATGCGTGTACATTTTCCATGATGCAAACAAGATTTGATTCAGTCTTCAGACTGTCCGATAGGTGGATATTGATATGTACGCGTGCAAAAAAAATCAGGGACAACTGGTTCTGCCTGTTGTCACAGGGTGTGATGGGTGAATATATATATATATATGTATATATATATGTGTGTGTGTGTGTGTGTGTGTGTGTGTGTGTGTGTGTGTGTGTGTGTGTGT